ATTGAACTCACACTCTTTGGGTTCTGTCACTGGATCTAACCAGCGCCTTTATCCACAGTGCCATAAAGGCGTTGGTTAGATCCAGTGACAGTTCAAAGAGTATGAGTTCAATACCTGGTTAAGGCAGTGGAGAACTTTCAGAGGGAAAATTAACAGGAGATAACTGATAACTGACTGGCACGTGGAACTAGAACAGTCTACCCCTGTGAGCGTAATAAAGGGTTCAGTTCGACATTCCAACCACCTGAAGAAGGCCGGAGTGTACAACAGCCGAAACGTTGTAATAAATATGGCGACAAAGATGAGGATAATAGTCCCAATAATGTAAATAATGTACAGAATACCTCATTTCAGAAATATAGACAGATATAGGAAATCCTATTAACTATTTTTTACCCGCTCAGATTAAACACATTTTTTTTGGCGAAATAAGAAAGAACTGACTTCTTTTTCTGGGGTGAGTTAAAGGAGAAAGTGTACTCAATGAAAATTACAGACGCAACACACTTGATTGAACGCATGAAAAGGAAATGTGCTAAAAGTGACGGCAATGTGGAGTTATTACATCGAGTTTACACGAATCTTGCAAAGCGCATCAACTTCTGCATCACAAATGATGGAAATCATATTTTAGATGTTATTTGTTTTTTAATATTGCAATAATAATATGTTAAGAATTTCATTTCTTGAAAATATGCATTTTTCTTGTGTCCACACTTTTTTAAGGCTACCCTGTATATCATGGTTTACGAAATATTTTCATTGAGGGAATTAGACAATTTTTACCACATTGCTAGCTGAAATTCTCATGTAGAGTATATATCTTATAATATTCATTATATTTATTCTTATTGTCTTGTAGAGAAGTGATTTTCCTCAGATAACTCAGCAGATATTGTCATATTGTAGAGATGATATTTTGTATGACTCTAGGGAAAATCTCATGAGGATAAAGTTAAATTTTATATAAATTGATTTCTTAACTCAGTTACAATTAATGTATATAATTTACACTATTTACATTATTCGGACTATTTTCCTCATCTTTATCGCCATATTTACTACAACGTTTCGGCCGTTGTACGCTCCGGCCTTCTTTAGGTGGTCAGAATGTCGAACTGAACCCTTTATTTCGCTCACTGGAGTAGACTGTTCTAGTTCCACGTGCCATGTTTTAATGGATGCCAGTTAGAAGTTATCTCCTGTTAATTCCCCTCTCCAAGATCTCCACTGCCTTAACCGGTTATTGAACTTACACTCTTTGGGTCCTGTCACTGGATCTAACAAACCCCTTTCTCCACTGTGCCATGTGTCTTTGAGGAAATATTGACAGATACATTTTATAATCGATAAAATATATATCTAAAAATCATACTTTTACCCTGGAAGTATAAAATTATATACGAAATATTTGTAATTGAAAGGATAAAATTAAGTACAAAATATATAGGTTTCGGCATTCAATAAGATATAGCGGTTGATATGCCGCTAAAAAAAATTCAACCAACCAACCAATAAATGACAGGAAGTCATGGAGAACCATGATTGCATAC